CTCACCGCTCTGCCGTCTCTCCTTCCAATTCTCTTAGTTCCTCGGTACGGTTTCAATCCCATATCTCAGCTGCTCAAGAGGAAAGAAAATTAGCTCCGTGGATTTCTCCCCTTCTCCGTCAGCTGCCCCTATTACTTATCTCATTAAGAAAAAAAGCTGATCCAGGTGTATAACTAAAACAACACATTTTTTCTTAGACATTTTCCTGCATCACTCTTCTCTGCAGGTAATTTTACTGTTGTTTTACAATACAGGTAGAAGGTAATTTTCCTACATACAGTGTTGCTTGGCCCTGAATCTGGCGGGCTGTCAATTTTTCCCTGTTTGCAGCTGAAAATAATTTTTCAGAAAACATGGTCATACTCCAGTCTGAGAGGACTAGCACAGTATTTGAGCACTCCCTTGCAAGGACTAGTCCACAAAGGCTGTGTTCTGCAAAGACATCTTAATGCGTATGTAACGCCTGTATCTTAAGCACACATAACTTACACGCATGTAAGCAACCAGATAATCTCACCAGATAGGCAGGCAGTTTTTCCAGGATCAGTGATTATTTGAATATACCGTCAGGGATAAAGAAGGAAGAGAAGTAGTTCCTCTCTTACTTGACAATGCACAAAGCAAATTTCTTGCAAAATGGGCATCTCCAGAACACCTAAACCAGTTACTGTGCAGACTTTGAGGTTGCTACACACAGGGAATTATTATTACTGTGTTTAGTGGGAGGAAAAGAATAACCATCAATTACTATTCCCCAATACCTTCCCCGTTAAGGCTAAAATTAATCTTGGTTTGAAACTAAAATAAAGCAGAACTTTTGTCGTGCTCGTTGTTCCGGAACAGGGAAGATCCTCAGAAATCAGGTGCTTTGGGCTAAAGGCCTCTAGAGGTCACCAGAACCTAATTAATAAGCATTGCTAAACCCATCTGTGAAGTGTGAATTGCTTTGTTTTGATTGGGACTTTCCACCCCTGCAGCCTTGGGTCTCCCCTCTGGAATCCAGGCTCTGTGCTTCTGGCGAATAACATCAAATGCTTGCAAACCCATACTCTCCTGGAGAGGCTTGGCTATACAGAAGCCAGCTCCCTTTTGGGTAAGAAAGCAGAGTCGCCCAAATGGCATCTTTTCCTCTGCGCAGGGTTCCAACCTCACCCGCCTGCTTCTGTGATAAAACCTGCCCTGGCACAGCTGGAGTCTCTTGCACCCCACGGGCAATGTCTTTGACACACCTTTGTAGGCCCAGCGAATGCCATGAGTATTACCAAAGTGAGAGGGATACCAGTTCTTTCACTTGTGCTGACGCATGAAAACAGTCACTCAAAAGGGAGCACAGGCTGAGCGTGCAGATTAGGTAATTGGCAAGGATTTTTCTACGTACATTTCTGCCTTGCAAGTTACGATCTGCAAACACAGGAAACCCTGTAAAGAGTAAGCTTTCCTTCCAGGTCACCCACTTCTATATCTACAGGGAAGGTTTAGAGAAGAGCTACAATTTAATTATGATCAAGTGGTTGTCATGAGGCCAGAGACCTCATCTGCTTCATGCAAGAGCAGAAGAGAAAGCTCAGGTAATTTTCCTGGAGCTCTCTCCAGGGTCTAGGAATGAGAGAGGCTGGGGAGGAGGGAGCTGGGTACAGTTGAGGGGGATTATTTATTTCAAGACGGCAAACAGAAGCTGGTCCTTCCAGGAGAAATTCCTCTGAAGAGAGCAAAGGTATTTATTTTGGGAGCAGTCACTGGAATGGAGGCCTGTGGTGTCTCAGCAGGGGAATTTTCTTCTCCTCTGAAAAGCCAGAAGAGTTGAACACAGACGAGTGGCCTGTGCTTCGCCAGGATGCTGAGAGCGGTCGTGGGGGGGCTGCTGCGAGGGGATCCTCACCAAGGGCTCCTTTGCTTTTAGATACAGGATAATGCAGGCCTCAGAGTCCAGGGAGTTTTTCTGGGCGCACAGCAGGAGGTGAGGCTTTGCCCTTTCAACAGTCTGTGCGGTAGCTCCTTTCCGTGGCCCGCCCTTTGCCTCAGTGGCAGCAGGTGACTTGCACCCCTTGTGCCCTGCTCTGGGAGCAGCAGCCCGCGGTAATAGGATCACCCCGAGTGTGTTTGCTGGGGATTAGCAGGTATGTTATTTTTGCAGACTGGAACTGTGACGCTGCAGCCTGGCTGGAGTCCACGTCAGTTCCTAATCTCATGCAAAGCCCCAGAGAGGTCAGCAAGACCATAAACTGAGATATGTGCCCACCTGAAGGAGGTCAGGATTATTTTCATTGTAGCATACCATTCCCAGAGAGGAAACACTCATACGAATTCTACAGCCGTCCTTTATTTCCTTCCCCTTCAAAAGATGCACAGGTAGAGTTAGGGGCTTCCCTTCTCAGTCCCCTTCTCAAGGCAGGGTGCTAGAGAAACCTTGCTGCTGCTGCTTCTCCCTCTCCAAACAGCAATCTCATCAAAACTTCTCGGTGGCTGCCATCTGTCGCAAGCAGAACACCACCCCTTTTGCTATTTACAGTGCAATTAACCTTTAGCAAATTAGCCGGTGACTGTCATGAACGGATTAATTAAGGCAACACACCCTTGACTTGTTCCCGCCGTGTAGGTAGTGTGCTGCGTTTGCAGCAGCGTACCCACGACTCTGCCAAAACCCTTCCAGAATCAGGAGGGTAGTTTTTATCCTTTCTGCATTATCCTAGCAAATTTGCCAGCCACGGGGAGATGCGTGAGGAAGGGCTCCAACAGGCTCCAACAGGCACCGTCCTGTGGAACTGTGGAACGCCAGAAGAGTTGAACACAGACGAGTGGCCTGTGCTTCGCCAGGATGCTGAGGGCGGTATGGGGGGGCTCCCATGCCGGGAAGCACCCCGGCAGCGTGGGTGCTTCCCTTCTGCTGATGTTACTGAATGTAGCAAGGATGTGGGGCCATGCCTCAGCCACCTCAGCTGAGCGTTGTAGTTTAAGCAGCCAAAGAATGAAGTTGCTGCCAAAATATCAGGCCGTGATGTGCAGCAGCTGTGCTTTGGAAACATACCCTATATTGCCTAGCGCCGTCAGACTTCCATCCAGACTTCTGTGCCTGTGTCTAGGAGGCATAATGCATGCATGCCGAGGCCAAGGCGTCCCGAGAGCCTTAGGCCTCTGGCCCTGGTACAGCGGAGTTGATCTGTGCAGATGTGCAGGACGTGCCCGGCTTATCTGGACACCCCTGTGCTTGCTGCCAGCCCTCGGAGAACCCTCAGGCAGATAAGCCAGTTCCCCCAGCTCCAGCAGAGCCTGAGTTGTGGTGGAAAAAGAGGCCTTGGCCAGGGAAATCCAGCACGCTGGCCCTGTCTCTGCTCCTCTTCCCACGCGTCTGTAACTCCTGGCAGAGAGGCAGGGTGGCCGGTAAAGGCAGTAACATCTTAAGCCAAAGCAGTTGCAGTCGCCAGAGTTGATGTCCTGAAGGCCAAAACCTCAGGACTCGAAGCTGCACCAGAGAAGAGCTGCTGCACAGCGGTGCTGTTGATAGGCAATGCCAGGCAATACCTGTATTGGTGGGCGATGCGTTATGTTGTACTGTCAGCAGCCCCGTGTCTCACGCTGTGTTGTCCAGCATGGGCTTGTCCTGCTGTACCTCTGCCACTGCCACATCCTCCTCACGCAGCAAAATCCCCCGTGGATGGGTTCTGGGGAGACGACGTCAGCCCAGGGAATGGGGGCTGAGTGAGGAGGGAAACAGCCGCATTTCAAACCACGACACCGCCTCCTAAAAGTTTAACAGAACAGTGATTGTTGGTAGTGCCCCATTTCTTCAGGACCAAGATTCAAAGGGCGTGACCCATAGCAACACTGTTCTGACAAACCCTGGACAGTATTTTTTAATTGCAATCAGGTGTAAACTACTTCCTTACATTTCTTTGGATCCATGAGATTTTGAAGGCGCAGCTAAACAAAGTATTTAACCTCATTGCGAGTTCAGTCTGTGCTTGGCTGGGTCAGGTAATCCAATGCTGTTATTCTTTGATGATGGAAGTGTTTAGCTAACATTGTCGCTTATAGCAGGATAAATCAATTATAAAGTTACATCATCATTGATGCAGTTCTGTCATCTATTTGCATGTCTTCTCTGATTCCCAGACTCGGTCAAGGCTAGAAAACTTGGGAGGCTTTCAGGGTTTTGCGTCCACGTGTGTACCCTAAGGAAATCATGAGCGCGTATAGAGACAGGACCTAGATGCATACTATTCCCAGCCTCCTCCTGGTTTTCTCCGATGGAAAACCGCTTAAGAGCCAGCTCGGACGATACTGGCACTGGAACCCTGGGCGTGCAGCGTGCTCTGACCCGGAGGTATGCATAAACACAGCCTGAGGTGATACAAACAGGTCATAACCATTCAGCATTACTGGGAGGAAAGGCCGAAACAACATCTGTTGCAATGGTGAACTCGGAACTCTTCACACTCTTACGGTACGGACGCTTCTAACAATATTCAGAACATCCAAAAAGCTGGTAGGGAGGAGCAAGGGATTATTCCGGTTTCAGCCCTACCCTCCGTGCTGCAGCGACACCTTAGCAGCGAGGCGGCTGGCCAAGCCCACAATACAGCTGAGAGGTTGCAGCTTCACAGGCAGCGACAGCAGTATGCAAGACTGCACCGTGAGTTAAATAACAATAAAATGAATACAAAGTATTCATCCTGTAGTTGATGCAGGATAATAAAACGAATGAGTGTACTAAATCATTACACAGCTACTTATCTTCTTATATAATTGATTACTAAGTCCTTACTGAGAACATGGAAGAGGAGCGACCAATGTAATTTGCTGGTTGTACGGGCATTATCTGGAAACTCAGATGGTTCCTTAAGGCTCCGATTCTTGTCAGATTTAGCGGCAAAAACTAACAGCACTCCTGCCCCCGCAACTGAAGCCAACAGGGACCATAAATCGAAGCCTCCAGATATTCACACTCGGTGTATCCATGTCAACCGAAGTAAGTGGCAGTTTGTCGTAACACGTCGAGCTGTAATACGGCAAACGGGGCTCAGGCTGAGAAGCTGACACACTGGCTGTTTGTTGGAGGGACAGTAACCTCCAGCAGATGGGCAGAGCGGACAACTGGCTGCACTGATCTCTTTACCTGTGGTGGCTGAATCCGACAAGGGCCGTGACTCAGAGCCCTTAGTATGAGGATTTTTTGCCTGTAATGAGGGGCGTGACTTCCATTCTTCCTGGGAAGACTGATGTGGGAGAGCTTATGAAGAAATGCTGGATGCTTAGGTTCTTCTCAGTTCCAGGCAAGGAGAGCAATTGCATATGTGGGCCTACACTGATGAACTTTTCCTAATTTCCAGTGAGTCAATAGTGAATCGGGTCATCAGCAGTGACCTCTTTGGGAAGAAGGGCCTCTGATGCCGAAAACCTAGTGGACTGTTAAAGAAGTTAAGGCACTTTTCATTTCCCCTTCCAGGGCGTAGCACAAGTCGATTAGGACCACTAAGGTGATTACCTCTGCTTTGCAGTCTCTGTCGATTATGCCCTGATTAATGTTGACAAAAATCTGGCAAAGGCAGCTTAAAGCAGCTGCAGGGTTTTTACCTTCAGTCCCTTCCTAGCCTGAAATCTGCAGCTGTTAAAAATGCGCAATACAGAAATCTTAAAAAAACCACATAATCAGTCGAGGAGTCTCTTCCCGCAAACGGCGTCTTCGGTCCGGCTGTTAACAAAGGCTTTGACGTGACGGCGTATTTTAGGGATGGCTCTTGGCTCGGGGAACGTGGTCGTTTACGGGAGGTCTCCGGGCAACAGGCTATCAGCCCTCCGAATTTTTAAGCAGCAATTGCCTCAAGAAAACCCCAGCGGAGCGGAGCGATAAACTTTTGAGGCGCTTGACCGGAGTGCGGGGGCAGTTCCTCCCCAGCCAGTCAGAGCTGCGTCAGGCGGCCTTAGAAGCTACCGAGAAGCTGCCCTTGCCGGCCGGCCTGCCCCGGGCCGGGCAACGGCCCCGGGCTCCCGCCTG